AGTGCATCCTTGAATTGTCTATAGAAGTTTTGTTTGAAATTTCAGGTGGTAGTTTATTCCAATCTTCGATTGTGTGGCTGAAGAATGAGAATTTTAAACTGTCTTTGTTGCATTGGAGTTGTCTATATGTTTGTTGATGGGTAGATCTTGTTTTGGACTGGGTTTTCTTATGAGAACATCCTGAGATATTATTGCAGTGTCATTATTTATTACTTTGTGGAACATTTGAAGTCTGGTTTTTAGCCTTCGCTCTTGTAGGGTTTGCCAGTTTAGGTTTTGAAGTATTTCAGATACACTGCTGGTGTTGTAAAATCTGTTGCATGTATATCGTGTAGCTCTTTTATGCACTTCTTCAAGTCTGTATATATGTTCTGAAGTGTGTGGATCCGAAACTGTACAGCAGTATTCAAGTTTTGGTCGAACTATTGGTTGCTCTTTCCTCTACTAATTTTGAACTAATTTTTAGATTTCGTCTGACGAATGATAAAGATTAATTTGCTTTTGCTGCTGATTGTTGTATATGTTTGTTTATTTGAGATCTGAAGACATTGTAATGCCTAGATATTGCACTTCAGGCTCCCGAGTTGGCCGGCTGACACAGACACACACACACACACACACACACACACATATATATATATAACCTTGAACAGTGGTGTTACACCATAATATAAACAAACCATATAAAACTCTTTTTTATCAGTTTTATTTGTATGACTGTAAGTTATAAAGATGATAACGGTGTGTATCTCAAACTATTACAATATCCACTTGGTTTCACATTGATCGAATTATTGTAGCAACATTTAAAAGATTCCGGCGCCCCATTAACCTTTGCTGACACACACATACGATTCTAGGGTTTTAAATGCTATATGCAAATTTAGAAGCCAAATTACGATCTTTTAGTACCATTGCCCAAATGTAGAATCTCTTAGTTTTCCCAGCAAGAAAAGATGAGAAAAAAAATATATTGGGAATGGGAAATTAAGCAAATACTAAAAATACCTAATTTGACTATAGTGCATTCAATAAGCACCTGCTGTAACTATAGGACATTCAACAATTAGATTATAATAGATCATAGATTACCACATAGCATCTCTTTATTCTTTATATTGCAATGAAGAAATATCATGTCACTGTACTACTAGTATAACCTAGACACGTCAATTATTTGGATAGAAATAACAAGGTAACTGTATGCATGAGACTAATAGTTTGTGTGTTTGCTTAGTCCAGACTCCAGGTTAGGGAAATCGTATTACAAATATTTGAATGTAAAAAATGGAAGGATTGAAATTCCGTGTCTTATTTGACTAATAAAGAGATACCTATACATCGCCTAAGTCGGCCCAAGTAAATAAATAAATAGAGAATTTAGTCAGTTGTAAATATGAATATCATGAATGTGACACTATGTTTAGATTTTTACCTGAACTTAAATACTTATATGAATAGATCTTTTCAAGGTTTGATAGGAGCAATGCAGAATATTTAACCACGTGGCTGTCGCCAGAAGAGTGAAAAATTAACAATTAATGGTACAATGAATTCCACAACGGCTTGCCTTACGAAACAGTTGCTTAGTCTATATGTTTGCCAAGTATCGGTCAATGCTAATTTGTTTTGTCCTTAATACGCTAACCTGTAAGATCGTAAGATCGTTGTGGGGCTCATATGGAAGGATCCTATCCTTTTTAGCCCACCATATTTTGGTAGACTTTCAAAACTGATACAATCATCAATCCTGCATGATTTGGTGCAATATTTCACACAATAAAAACTATTTGTGTTCTCACGATAACTTAACTTTGTACTGATGACAGTAAAAAATCGTTCATAAGATATATCTTCGTTTCCTTTTAAAATTTTTAAAGCTTGTATCATATCACCTCTTCGCCTTCTGTGAGTAAGAGAATGTAGTTTAAGTATTTTTAATCTGTCTTCATAGCTTAAACTCCGTAGGATTTGAAATTATTTTGGCAAATTCAGCAACTATTAAAAGAAAATTTAGTTAAAATTTTACTATTTAATGGTTTATAATCATTAAATATATAGTTCAAACTTTCCTTAAATACTTGTCAGGGTCGATATAAGATGGTACGAGTTAACTTAACAAAGTCGGTCCAAAATTTCTCCGGACCGACTTGTCCAATAATCATCATTAAAGCGTTTGACAGATAATGATTGATTTGCCTTATGTTAAACGCTAACGTTACATTGATGTTGATTTTTTAATATTAATTAATGATTTTTTAATATTAATTAATGATTTTTTAATATTAAAAAATCAGCGTATTATTTAATATTACAAATTCATTTATTAATATTAAAAAATCAAACTGAATTTTAATATTAAAAAATGATTTTTTAATATTAATAAATGATTTTTTAATATTAAATATTCATTTATTAATATTAAAAAATGACAGTATTTTTTAATATTAAAAATTCGATTTATTAATATTAAAAAATGATTTTGTAATATTAAATAATCATTTTTTAATATTAATAAATGATTTTTTAATATTAATAAATAGGGAATAAATTCCACGTTTGTGGTACTTGATTTATAAATAGTTGTTGTTTAGAGATTTCAATCATATAACTTGTACCAAGGATTTGTATAGTAATCCTTGCTTGTACGATCTATTTCCCCTTCAGTTATTCAAATGGTTCTTTAACGTATAGATAGCATGAAACTCCCACTACACCAGGCAATAGATATACGACATTTCTATTTCGTCCGGACAAAGCAGCGTATTTATACATTCGAACAGCCAAACATACGCACCCCTGTAGCACGGGTGAATATTTCTATACCCAAGTCAATCCTTTGGTTCTGTATAAAACGAGATAAAGGTATACATTAATGCGACAGCAACCCAACGACACAGACAAATCAAAACCTTAAGAGTCAATATACAGTCTTTTGTAATAGAAAGATGCCTTTACAGAATAATAAGCTCAAAACCGCCCCATGACTAGAAAATTCGGAGTTAATTTAATAATAATCACCGTACATATCCCAACAGGCAGAAGTGTTTTGTTGAAAAATATCCCCTGCCCTTTTTTAATTTCGATCGGTGGAAATTAAAGGTGTAATATAAAGTAGTAGAAGAAAAACATTTCACTGTTTAGTAACGGTAAAATAAATGATAATAGATGACGTCCAGCGGCAAATTAAATGCATATTCAGGACGAAAACATGTAAATGAGCCTCCTCATGGGGTTTTTGATTATGTGATTATTTGGCCGTTTTTATAGTGATTATTTGATTACCAGACCAAATATTTCATGATTATTTGATTATTTGATAATCTAGGACTGTATTTTTGATTTTTTGATTATCTTGTTTAAAAAAATAATTAATGATTATGTGATTATATGGGCAAAAAATTTGTGATTATGTGATAACTTGGACACCCCCTGGAGGGGCCTCGTAAATGTTTATATGAATATTAATCCTGCGTTGTATAAGATGACATGCTGAGCCAGACTTTTAGTGTGCAAGTTCACAAGCTAACAGTTAACACGAAGAAAAGTCACCCTACCCGGACACATTTCTATCTCCAAGCCGACCAGTCTGTGCTCTTACTCTTAAATGCCACGTGTTTAGCGTTGAAATAACAAATACCAATTTTAACTTCTTTGTTTGACCCAGTGTGGATTCGAACCAACGACCTCCTGCTCTCAAAAGGATCACACTCCCACCAGACCAATGAGGCGAACGGTAGTATAGAATATCATACCAAAAACTCAAATACAATAAAAAATACAGTTTCACAGTTACTAAAGCCAGCTAAAAGTGTCTAACCTAAATTAGATGCCTTAAATGCTATTTGAAACTACACGTAAATAACGATGGCCGACTTCAGAGTAGATTTCATTGATCAACGCTCTCTGCAAATAAAAACTTTTGAACCAATTATTGAGGAGTTCGGATGTGGCCAGCTGTTGCAAGGCTAATTTCTGTCCTTATTCATTATATCCTCATTTTCCAGTGATATTCCAAGTTTCACGTCCAACCTCACTGTCGACCTCCTATTGCAAGATCTTTACTTAGACTATAAAATTTATGTGTTCGCGTCATGAACATGCATGAAATATTTGCCACTGGACATAAAACAAACAACAACCAATCAACTTCATAAATTATTCCATGTACATAGTACACGAAGACAAGAGCTTGTAAAATGCTATAATGTAGAATTTCCATTTAAATCACTCAATAATAGTGCAAAATGTTTTATGTTTTTGTTTTTTGTTTGCCAATTTTTGCAATTTACTACATAACTGATCACTTATGATTATGTCAGGCGATTATAAAACTAGGCGAAGTAAAAGTTTTTTTCAAGGTGTTTATGCTTCATTTAGACGTGAAAAGAGAACGATGGACGACTAAAAAAAAGTATTTGTTTTCATATAATACATTGTATTTCAATTTAAGAATGATGATCAACCTTGCAAAAATATCTCATCTATACACGTTTTGATCGAGCCTCTCAAGCCTACATAACTGGATGCTATTTAGGCTATTTAATATGATTTTGTTTCATTGAAGTTTACAGGCATAGTTTTTTATATAATATCTTCGGGCTCGGGGATTTCAACATCCCTTTTTGTTCGAAGGTCTTTTAATGTCAATACTAAATTAATCATTAAACTTTTACTATTACATAAGGAGACATCAAAATCAATGTGGATTTTTTTACTTATTATATTTGACAATATATTCAGGTAAGGTTGTTGTCCTATATACGGTATTTGAGTTAGCATCCCAAACAATTACTGACTGGCAATATATACTGTAAATTCAGAAATTATTGCAAGGTTTTTATTAATGCAAATAATGCCTTGGTGAAAATCGCAATAAGAACTCGTATTCTCAAATCTGATATATTTATCTGTATGCAGATTTTCCTGAAATTGCAATTATTTCTGAATTTACAATACCCTCTGCCTCTTTGTGGCATGGTGTATAATAATATAAACAATAGTATTGATATGTTTATTTAAGAAATCTATCATTCATACAAATATATTTATACCAGGTTTTAGCAGAATTTGTTGGAATTAAGTTATTAAGCATCAAGCTCTCACCATAAACATATATACAAATCCTCAAAAATTAGCCAAAAATATATATAATATAGAATATGCATAAAATGCTGTGCAAATAACAGTCAATAGGATCAACAAATTAGCATTCCAAAAAAAAATATATGGAATAAATAAAAATAGACATGATAGAAACAATGGTAAACTTAATATAAAAATGATAAAAATAATTATTATAATCTGATATTGTAAAAATCTAGCTCCAAAAATGCTCCATGTTTTCTTGCTTTTATATAAAGAATCTTGTTACTGTGGATTCATTAGTTTTTTGGGGTACCGGTAATAATTTTCGTGGATTGGGGGAAAGTTCATTTCCTTGTTTTTTTTCATTCATGGTTTTATAAAAAATCTATTTCCTATAAGAAATTTTTATTTTGTTGAACACTTAAATTCCTGGTTCTCCCTAACCCACAAAAATGTGTACCTTTAACAAATAATCCACAGTTTTATATAAATTATTAAAAAAAGATACACCATAATACCAACAAAAGCCTATAAATAGATTTACTATCACAATTAATTGTGACCTTTTAAATATTTCACGGTATCTTTTTAAATTTTTTTTTTTTATTATTGGAGAAAGTAAACAAAGTAAATAAACTCTGCATATCTCTTCATTTTACATATTAATTTTAGTAATATTATTTCATACTACATTAAAATTATAAAATATCATTCTCAGTAAGACAAGATTAAGTAAAAAAAAGCAGTAACTATATTTATTATTGCTGTACCAGATATAACTTATTACATATCACACATATACATTTTCTCCAAGTTATATACATCGTAATAGAAGTTGTACTTAAAAACAAAGTTACCGCAACCAAGTAGTTCTTTTCAACAGAATGCTTGTGAACAATTACACCATAGGGTTGATTCTATGGATTTTGCAAACCGGGACAAACTTGTAAGGGTGAAAGAATTTGAAACAGACTCTGTGAAAATTACTTCTTGCTTCCAGCATTATAAACACCACTTCTTATATCTACCAGCCAATTATTGGGCCTTAACATCAAAGAGTGACCAGCCCAAGATTGGTGTTTTATTGTGAGATCTCTTATGTTAGATTTCTTGAAAAATGGGGACTTGTGTAGGATAGATAAACAAACTTTTAATATATATTACAAAATGACTACTTTCTTCAAAACAAACATACTGAAATTTTGATTAATTTTATTAGCTGTTAAACAAAAATTACTCTAAAAAATTGTTGTATATTTTTCTACCAGGCATCTAAACATTCTGCACAAGCTTTTAAATAATGACCTGCATAGGCATCCAAATAATAATTTCTGTTTCAACAAAACAAAAAATTATTGCCATTTCTATGGAATATAATTGTACAGAAAAAACTTAAATTATATTGCATTTACATTTTTGTTGGTTATATTTACAAAGCATAAACAGCTTATGGTAAAATGTGATAAATTTAGATATTTTCAGAGACATTATAGAGCCATGCCAAAATCAGATTATATTGAATGTGATTGGAATGACCTATAAAACAAACTTGTAGCTATCACAGATGACTTTTATAACTTTCACACAGCTTAAGATGAGACATAACATTTCCTGTAAATTGCTTTCATATTTTGGCTATAAAACTGAAAACATGCATATATGGTCCCTTTAAAATTCAATTGGTCCAGCTTAACAAGTGATTTAAACATAGCACTTGGAAGACATTGAAAAAGCCATTTCATTCAAACACACATGAGAACCTGCTCAGGAACAAAGAGATTGCAAAACTTTCTCCTTCCAGGTAAAATAATGTTTTAAGGATTTGAAATTTCCTTTTCCTTTTAAGAACAATTCTTTCGTAGATACCATGTATGTTACAATGAAGCAGCCATCAACATACCTATTTGATCATTTTTTAAATATCACTTGGTTATGCATACATTTAACTAATACATGTATATAAATGGTCCCTTTATCATACATAGTTAAAAACTTAAAATAAAACAATATTCCAAAACTTATGTTAGGAATGCATTGGTTTTTGGTTAACCTTGATTTCAAAATTGTCGGGGTCAAAATGTACAAGATTTATTGGACAGGCTAGTCACATCTTACTAAAACATGCTCTGCAAGCAAACTATCTCTTTTCCTTTTAAGTGATACAAAATGATAGGTACCAATCAAACCATACTTTTCTTCTGGTAAAAATGAGCAACTTGAAAATTATTAACAAGGTCCATTCCCAAGCAATGTCATGAATGTAGAAATAGGTCCAAACCTTATACCATTAGCTAACTCATACATGTATCAATTTGATACAAATTGTACATATAATTATCATGCTGATGTGGCAGGTTGTTCAGGAATGTGTATAATCTTATATGTAAAAGTTAAATGTTTCAATTAAGAATGTTCTGTTTTAAAATAATTGAAAGTTACCGTAGCATGGCCACATATACAAAAGTAAGGAAATTTCTTATTTCTTTTTTTCACATTCCACTTGAATACACTAATGTAAAAATCTAGTCATGATTGTTCAATTATCACATTTGGAAAACTATACATTAAAATTTGTTATTGTTGACCTGACAAGACATGATTAAGGGGAGATAACTCTAAATGTAATCCTCTCCTCCCATTCTATATAAGAACCAATGTTAAACCCAATGTCATATCAGGTAAACAATACTAATTTTTCACTAAAATCTAATCCTGCAAGCTATACTGAATATCATATTTAAATTCACTATCAATATAGTCCTTGATTCTAGTCTAATATGGCAAAATTTTCTAGCTTCATTCTATGATAAATTCTAGCATGATGATACAAAAAGATTTCATTTTTGAAAGAGATCTAGCTTAATGACACAAGAACATTTCTCGTTAAAATATATTCAAACGAACAATACATTTTCCTTTAAAGAATTAAAACTTCTTTTTTTTTGAAAATTGTATTAATATTCTAAGAAAAACCCAATTATAGTTTCCCATGATTTTTACCCATGTTTATCAGTACAGTTATATCAATAAGCTCCACTGTATATACAATAAAAAGTGCACAGTTAGACACAGCTATAAAATCAGGTATAAATGGAAACTTTTTTAAATATTTGTTTTAAAAATTTACAGTCAAATGTTAGTTTACATGTATCAAAAGTATCATTATCTAAATAAACTTAACCAGTTTTAAATTAATTTTTTATAATTCTAAATTTTAAGCAGAATCGGTATATTCATAATAAAGCTTGATTTTGTTACTTCCCTTCTTTAAACATAAGATAAATGCTATCCCTGTCTGTCAAAAGTTCATGTGAATAAATTTAGCAGAAGCTAAGCAGTTTGATTTGACCATCCCATCCCACAGTTCATCCTCACTCACATCCTCGACAAATGATTAAAATACTGATATCATGTGTTATTAATGAATTAAATTAGCATAAAAGTTTGATCAGATGAGGGTCTTCAATCTTCTTGCTGCTTGTTCACCTGCAAGTCCTTTAACATCAGACATGCAAAAATTGTCATCACCATTTTTGGTTTAACTTCAACAATGTCCTCAGGAAGTGCATACACTTTTGCACCAATTTTCCTTGCCATAGAAATGGCATATTTAGCATTTGACAGTCGTTCCTGCAAAGTAAAAATATTGTTTAAATGCAATAGGATATATGATTTTTCAAAAATCTAATTTTATGATAATAGAAATACATTACAAGTTTAATAAGATTCTGTAATTTTGATTGGCTGTCAGAGGCTATTACTGACAACATTAAATCAATAAATAAAAAACAAATGAACGACTTGATTAAACTTGTAATTTCATGGTTGTAGTATTATAATGTAATTATAAGAATAGAATGCTTCTTTTTGTAATTTTTTTGGGCCTAAAAGGGTTGAACATGTCTACGTTTTTAGTATGAAGCACTTAGCTACTTCATACAAAAATGTGCTTTGGTCAACGCTTTTACACCCCAATAAAAGTACCAAAAATATCATTCAATTCTCAAATAAATTTTTTGAATTATTACCGATAGCTATGCATTTGTTTGTTGGTATAGTAGTATTTTTATGCAATATTTTGTTTTTGTGTGAACATCCATGAATTTCTTTGAATTATCTCCCCTTGCTACCTTTTTAAATTATTCACATTTTGTATATGTACACATATCATAATTGTTAAATATTTCACCAGCCTTACTTTTACCTATTGAGCTATTGGGTAAGTAGGAACACAGTTGTCAGTGATTGCAACTTTTTTATTTGAGATAAGGAAAACAAATTTAGTGTTTTTCTTAACATTTGTAGTGTAAATTCAGACTATTAAAACTTATTTCAATCAAATAGGAAATATAAACTGTTTTATTTCAAGACAAGTGCAATTCAGACTGCAACAATTTCAATTCAATAGGAATATAAACTGTTACTATACAGATATGTCTCACCAGTGTGATTTTAACACTTGTTGACATTGTGGCCAACAACTCCAGAAACAGCAAGTACTTATATGCAACTTTACACAAAAATTTCAACTCAACTAAATCTGAATCAAATTTGATACATTAAGATTTAGCTGTATGTTTAACCTACCTCTTCATTAGAACAATCTTTAACTAAATCAAAGTTGACCATATTTCTTTTGATGCAGTCAATTAAATCTAATATGGCTCTGCTGTCATTGAGAGATGAATCTTGGAATGAGCGTAATGATGTTTTCTTTCCACCTTCCTTCAACTGAAATCAGGCAATATCAATATAGTAAACATTAATACAAATTTATCATATATAATGTATGATACAGGAAATAGAGACATAAAGCTCCTCAATTATCTTAGGCAGGGCATAAAAAGTATTGAGGATGAAAAGACAAAATGTAACAAAAGAATGACCCAAGTCAAACTTGTGACACCTTTATTGTGTAATTTACAACCTAATCCAACAATACAACGTCCATTTTGATGATTGGTTAATCACTTTTATTTTATTTTGAAATACTACCAAAGGAATGGACTAAACTTTACTCATTTCCAACATTAATCTGTATGACTTTCTTCTGTGTTAAATTAGATCTAGTCTCCACTTAATACAAAAAGACAATTGTTTGTGAGTTGATATTAAATACACAGGAATGAATTAGCAATACCTAATTCAAGAAAATAAGTACAGACAAAACAAAGGAAAAAAATACAGTATAAAATGTATGGTTTTGAAAGATGAGGCATGTGCAAATATGTATTTCATATTTATCTATTAACTCTACTACTTTTCAGTACAAAGTTGGTTCCCTTTTGATCAAATTATTTTAGAGATGTATTTTATTTCAATCATTATAAACTCTATTTAATTTTATTCTTTCTATTCTAAAATATTTCTTTTAAACTTTCCAACAATGACCACACAAAAAAATCTTGATCCCTATCATTTTCTATTCATATCTAGCCACATGTTCATGTACCTGTCCCATATAAGGAACTTCATCAAAGGTTGTTTTTTGCTATATCTCTGATTGCTTTTCGTCATTCTAATATCAATCTATTTTCCTTTACTTTTTGCTGTTGCCATATTTAATAGTGTCTGCTCAACTCCAGTCTTAATTGACTAGGATTGTCAGTTTTCCTACCCAAGTTTGTTGGTTCTCTCCAGCTTCCTCCACCAATAAAAACTGACCGCCATGAAATAGGACAATAGTGTTGAAAGTGGCGTTAAACACCAATCAATCAATCAATCAACAGTGTCTGTAAAAGATATACATATTTTTTCTGGCCTGAGGATAGTAAGTTGACCTCTAGATGTCATTTAGTTCTTGTGTTGATGGGTAGCTGTCTCATTGGCCAAATACATCCTTCATAGTCCTCAAGTATTCTGAATAAGTTAATTGTTTCCTTTAGATAAACTGACTTCTCTTTTTAATGCCAATAAATACAAAGTCAGTGATTTGTGTTTTTTCCTGCATCAGAGAAACAGAAAATGAATTTTCCATAGACTTACTAACCTTTCCATTGGCCCATTCTGTAATAGCCTTGTCATTGATTGGTGAATCACTTCCAGATATCTTGGTTAACAGTGATAATGTATATCCTCTCATTAACTGCCATACCAAAGCTAAACAGAAAACAAAGTATGGACTTCAGTAACATTCAGATACCATTTTACTACATAGACAATGTATTTGGTTTTTATCAACCAAAAAAATGAAAAAAAAAAAATTTTGCTACAAAATCTTGATGTTAATAGTTATTAAGAGATCTGAGTTTGGTCTTAAAACTAGAGTTAAGAAAGCTGATAAAGTTGACTCATATCTTTACACTAAATCCATTGGATGCACACCGATTGATACTTTAGTCTGGGAGAACATGATTTATTTGTTAATTGTAATTGGCTTTGAACTAGCTTTTAGTAATTGCTGGTACTCTTTTTACTTTGCTTTGTGTCTATTGTTTTTTATGTTATTTGTTTTTGTGCCTTGTACCGATCCTGTGTGCTAAGCCAATTGCAACTGATTTTTACAGTTTGTTCTTATGTTGTGCTGTTAAACCACTGTCCCAGATTAGGGGGAAGGGGTGGGGGAGTCCTCACAAATATGTTTAACACCACCACATTCTTTATGTGCCTGTCCTAAGTCAGGAGCCTGTAGTTCATGGTTGTCTTTGGTTCTTGTCTGTTATATTTGTTTTTCGTAAATTGTTTTGTTATAAATTAGGCCATACATAACTTCCTGAAAAACATCTTTTTTTTTTAATTCAGATAGTTAAGATATTTCCTGTCCCCCTTGGTACATAAACATAATGCTAAGATCTTACCTAATGTTAGTGTTTCATTTCCCTCAAGAATGTCTTGACCACCAATTCCAACCAATGAAAACTTGCATTGTTTCCCTAACTCTACTGCATAGTTGCAATTCTCTGAAATAAAAACAATAAAATCTAAATTCCTTTCATCAAATGACAGGAATAAAACTTGGGATTATATTTTCAGTTTGAACACACACATTATCTCACTGTATATTAATACAGCTGTAAAAAGGCAATTGTGAAAATATTTTTTCTTCTATGATTTTTATTCATCCATCTTTGAAAACATTTTTTTTTATTATTATCATAACTACATATCAACATTTTTTTCTCCACTCAAATGTTAAGATTACATTTCAAATACTTCCTTGTCATAGCAATATTGAGAAACCTCCTACTATGGGAGACAACTCTAACATATATATATTGAAAGCTTCCAAGCACACTCTGTTAAAGAACGACATAATGACAGAATTTGTAAGATATATTTGCATTCTTTTATCTTTTATTTGTTGATATTTCCCTACATCCGTGTTCTTCTTGCATTTATATCTAGCAAGGTATTCTGCTCCGAGGATTGTAGGGGACTTTTTAAACTTGCAGTGAGGTGTGATCCTTTAGCTTTGTGTTGAAGGCCACACTGTGACTTTCAAATGAAGAGCAGCAACAAAAATGGATGTTCCTTTACCTAGAATTTTGTCGAGCGAGTTTAAAGAACTACTGTCATGAAGTAGAACACCTTATTCAGTCTTTTCCATTATTCTTATATATATAACTTTCAGAAAAAGCACCAACCTTTTAAATGCAACTGAAAATTTCTTTAATCAAATAGATGATGCTTTTTTTTCATTACACAACTTAATTTTTTTAACAGCCATACCTAATTTTTCAAAATTAACTCTCATCTTGTTGAATTTCTTGACAACTTTGTTCCAGTCAACACATCCTGGTTTGATATGGTCATAAAGTTGGAAAATGACATGGCCATCTTTAAGGTCATTGTACAGGTATGATACGAATGGATTCACACCCATACTGTTCATCCAGTTTCTGTATGCTGAAAGTAAGTATATTTGATTTAATATTAGTGTTTTTATTGCTATTTATAGCTACATTTTTCCATTTATATAAAAATTCATCAAAACATACAGTACCTATTAATGGAAGCAGTGTGGTCCCCTTAATGTTTTCACCATTTTTCTCGGTAAAATTTGGTTCATTGCAGTTGCATGGGAAATGCATCACAGTTACTTGATACACCAAACTAATTTTTTTCAAATAAAAGTAATTATATTTCATGCTCATTTCACATTTTTTCTGGTTTTTATATTTAGAGAGTTTTCAATCTATAAAAGTATAAACTAACTTGACACAAAAACCCATCTTGATTGTACAAATAGATCAAACTACTTCTATCTTACTGATGCCACTCCTTATTCATAAAAACCAAACCTAAAAACACATGAAGAATTATTAAACTACACTTACTTTTCTCTTCTCTTGTTTCTTCAATTTCAACAAATTCAATATCTTCTGGAGGCACTAGAGCAGGATATGTGTTGAACAAGTTAGCAACAAAAGCCAGATTCAATTTAACATTGCCAGTAACAACATCTTTAGGTCCAACAAAACTACGACATCCAATCTTGTCAGCCTCGCACAGCATGGCCTCAGCTCTCATGGTATCATCATTTTCCTGTTTACATGTACAATAAGTCATGAGAATAAATTAAGACCACTCATAAGGAGTCTAATCACATATCAATTGAAAACATTTTATATTTAGTAAACCAACTTATTTTTTTCAGACACTCTTTTCGTGTTTAGCTCTTTCTAGCTTTTTTAAAGTAATTTATCTTAAAAGTTTGCAATTTTTTAACTTTGTTTGTAAATTCATATAAGAGAAGATCAATGATTTATTTGAGACAAAAATTAATACTTTTTAACATTGTCTCAACTTAGTATATAATTCACTATAAAAATCTTTTTGAGAGATAGCAGGTGCGATTTTTTTCAATTTGAATTTATTAATCTAAAAGAAATAACTGTGTTCTTGGGCCTGATGTCAGATAATTGTAATGAAGCATGGACACATGATCTATATCTCAATCAGATTTTTATAATTCTAGCTTTTTTTGTCTGTTTTCTAATATTACAATATATAACATATAAAGCCCTAGTGGAAAAAGAGCATTTAATTGAAAACTTGAATTACATTAAACACTAAATATTTTTGCTACTGTGATCCAAATAAGCACGAAGTAAATATGACTTTCTCAAATGTTTGCCTACACATTTAACAACAAATATAAATAATGTGTTACAAACAAAGTTTGAAATCAACTATACTTACATTCATTGGAGCTAAGGTTACTCCACTGTCTTTTGGTGAAATCTGGTTCAACAAATGACTGTATGCCTCTGAATCCTGAGAAAAAATAATAATACATTTATGGGTGATTCAATTATGATCTAAAAAAATAATTTTAGTGTGTGTCTACTGTGTTTACATTTTGTTTAGTTTCAGTTTAATTTATTCATCTCTTACAGACCCAGGGTCATTTGTAGCTTCACATACTGTATGGACAAATGACTATTGTTAAAAACTGTGTGTATTTTGTACATTTGGTATTTTTCATACTATTTCAAAAATTCAAAGTCAATTCAGTACTGTTCACAAATTCTGTCTGCAGTCAATCAAGACCTAATGAATTATTTCAGTATATACAGTTCAGCTTCGGTAAATACATGTAACAGTAACCCTCAAAATGTAGGTACAGACCCCAAGTACATAAGGAGAGACAGTTATAAATTTCAGACAGAAGACATACCTGAAAGTTAACAAGAGTGCTGCATATCTCTTGTTTAGACCATTTACGGAAATTTAATATGAACAAACTGCCATTTCATTTCAAAATCTTAACTACTAGTGATGAAAAAACTGGAGATCCTATTTTTAATTTGATATATTGTTGATGTGACTACTAAATATCTTTTTTATTCATATGATCAAATGGCTATTTAAGTTCAAAATCTAAATATAAATGATGCCAAAATTTGACCTCTTTTTTTAAATTCAAAAATATTGCTGCTGTGCCATCTCCGTGACATTTCCCTTGAGCACAATTTTTCATCAACATGATAATCTGGTCAAAATCTAAACATAACATACCTTGATATCTCCACCAAAGTTTTGAATCTGTCTGCTAATGCCAGCATTTCTGAGATGATAGTTGACCCATCGGATGAGGATTTGTTCTGGGGACAATTTGAGAAGATCAGCCTGTTCTTCGCCTTCTTCCAACAGCAACACAAGTCCTGGATGGTTCATCAAGTTAATATCACTCAACAAACCAATCTATTTAAACAAAGAAATGACAATAAAAGTCTTTAATAAAGTAGTGAAAATTCAAACAATATTGGGATGTTTTTCTTATTGGGAAAGTTGCAACGGAATTGGTTTTGCAAAATCAAAAACTCAATTTTTGGTTGTTTTTACAATCTATTCAAGATAGGAGTGTTTGTACAAAGACAAATTAATCTTATGCTCTCAGTCTCAGTACAAGAGACGATTGTCTTAAGGTTTTTTTCCTTAATCAAGTATATACTTAAATTAAATTCCCAACAGAAGTCAGTAACATATTATAACTCTGTGCATACAGTAACAGCAGCCAGTTGTATGAACATGTCATTAGTCTAATGAGCCATTAAGTCTTCATTAGCCTAATGCATCATAAAGGCTTAATGAAGACTTAATGACCCATTAGGCTAATGCCACGTTTGTACAACCGGCTGCAGATGTACAAAATCTATTCTTAACAAAATCAACTCTGATGTTACTTTACTAAAATGAGATGAAATTGTTTTTTTTTTCAAATACATATATTTATATTATTCCTCATGTATTTTGTTATGTACCCTGATAAATAACGGAACAATTTCTGTAATCATAATCATTGTTTTAGAAAATTTAAAGTGTGTTTCATACAGCACAATTGCTTTCATTTTTTTCTGGTAAACTTTTTGTATGACAAGATGATAAATGATATATTACTCCTTGTAAATAAATTTATCATAGATACCAGGATTGAAATTTTGTACGCCAGATGCACATTTCGTCTACACATGACTCATCAGTGACGCTCGAATCAAAGAAGTTAAAAATGCCAAATATAGTAAAAAGTTGAAGAGCATTGAAAAAGACATAGTCGGAGATCACATGGTGATCCCATCATATTTTAAAACCTTTTTTGTTAACTTGTGATTAGTGATGTTCTGATGATCAGTTCTATTTGAAAATCAGTCAGTTATGGTAATCAAACTACCAATAGATAACCATTTTTTTTCTTCAGCATTTTCAGGATGTTATTCATGTGCCTGTTTGCACTTTAAGAACAAACCTGATCACATAATCGATAGGCAGTTGGTTTGGCTAAACCAATTGTAATCAATTGTCGGTTATAAATTTTTACTGATCAACATCATAACTTGTGTAGTTGGGTTGCTATCTCACTTAAATATACCTCACAACTCCTTTTATTCATATCATTTTTAATGCTTTATATCTATACAATCTAAACAGAGAAAATTAGCAAATTTTGAAATCAATAATTTGTAATTCAAACCATGTAAGGTCCAAAAATACTTTACCTTGATGACTTGCCACAAGAGACCAAGAACCAAATGTTGTTTGCCATCCATCAAATCTTGGGCACCAATATTGACAATATTACATCCTATAGAACTAGCAGAGTTTAAAGCTAACACATGGTTCTCGTGCATTTTGTATACACTTATTTTTTCATCTTTGTTGATTGTTCTTTCGTCTATGGTGTCTGGGACTGAGCAGTTGATCAATTTACTGTAAAGACAAATATTTTATTTAGTTTTCAACAATATCATAATTGTATAACTTCTTAACCATGCTTATTGTCTAATTTCCTTGTGCAAACTTTAACAGATGAGATGAAAAAATTATACTCCCTCAACTCAGCAGGGGTTCAAATTAGCGGTGGTCCGAGGTCCGCGACCTTCCATTTTTGCAGTCGGACTCTCGTTTTGGTTACAAGCTACGCCCGACGGACCTTTGGTTTGAAAGAAAATACAAATAAACTTTGCCGACCTGTTTAAACAAAAATTTCCAAACAATCTCAAAATTTATTTTCATCATTATTATTCATGACAGCGATGTTCATTTTGTTCAACCGCTAGCTTTATACCGAAAATTGCCAACTAGTAATGTAATCCGAGTAAAATCGTATCTGACTGACAAAACAACATTGAAAAACCAGGGGAAATCAACATTGGATGCCATAAACCGGAAATGAAGAAAATATCAAAAAACGGATCCAATTCCGGAGCGGATAAGGGTAATTCCGGGTTTGCCGATCAAATACAATGAAAAAATAATAATTCCAGGCAGTTGACAAAATACATCTATGATGATAAAATATAAACACTAGAATTGAAAACCAAAAGATATATTGAAAAGAAAGAAAAAGTAGGAAATATTTTTTTACAGAAACTCAAAATTACTTTTAGTTCATAAATTTTCATCTCAAAATCCATAAAATGTGACAGTAATTTTCTTTATCATTAATAAATATTGATATTACATGTAGATTTTTGTATAGTGTAAACGTATTACTACAATTCCAAGAGGTAATGTCTTCTCAATTTTAAAGGACCAGTACAAATCTGGAAGTTTCTTATCTTATTTTCACAGAGGAACTAATGCATTATAATAGTGCAACTAGATATGATACACTTAAACCATAGACATATATACACATGTATATACATCTCTGCTTAAACAGCTTTGAATTTGAACTGTTTTATAAAATGGTATAAGTAGTAATAAATTACCAACAGTTGAGACAACACACCCACCCATGGTGACACCCTCCTCAATAACAAAAAAAAATAGATTATCTGAATTATAATATACAAGACAATTACAATTGTTATTAAATATTTTATACAACAGTGACTTTGACAATGAAACAAGTTGACCTAACACCAACAGCACATTAATTTTGTTACTTGTATCTTACTATGTTAGGAAATATTTCAAGTAAAAGTAGGACCTGGAATTTAGGTTGTGGACCTTTCAGTTTGGAGTGTCAAAGGTCCTGGACCTTCCAGTACCAAATGTTAATTTGAACCCCTGCTCAGCAAAATAAATGCTTTTCAAAAGCTATAAAGTACTTAAAGAAACTTGATGCAGGCATTTTACACAAATAGATACTCTGAGAATGTAAATAAAATGTGATGCAATTTTATCATTACAGTTTTTGTAACTGTATCTATCTGTGGTATAAAATTCTATGGTCTGTAGGATTTTTTCAAGTCACAATCTGGAAAATATCTTGTTTTCACAAAGTCCTGTTACAACTTTTTGCAGAATCTTCGAGTTCTTTATGAAATAAAGTATTATGATAGAATACACTTACATTATGAGTTCAAGGCAATGTTTTGTGTGAATGCTCAGATCGTAAATATGTTTTGCCATTTGATAAGGGACTTTGCATTTTAAATTTCCATTGAAGTTCTGTGTTTTTGTTATTTTACTTTTTTGATTACAGAAATCAATGCCTTGATTGATTGATTGATAGGTGCAGCAAATATTACATTGATATTCAAGATAAAATGTTTATGCTATATGGATAAACACTGCTTTATAAAGGCCTTACCCACAAAGTCATATTTTTAAGGCAATAGCTCACAATGTCACAGTATGCAAGAACATATTTTGTACAACCAGTACACGTTATAATGTCTTTTACATGTAGATGACCAACCATTACTCCAAATCCTAAATGCTGCACGACTGGCATAGAGGTGGCAAATATCAATTTAAAAGTTTTTGGTTTGACCAACCCAGGGAATGAACACATGACATCCTGCACTCAGGGCAAGCATTCTACAATAGTCGACCATTTGTGTCTGATCATATATTAATCAAAAAGATATCATACCATATTAAAATACCATTTCTGACACATTTATATAAATCATCTGTCTCTGGGTCTATTGGTAAGAGATTTTTACAGTCAGGATCCTCTTTCAAATTTCTGAAATATAATAGAAATCAGTTTAAAATCAGTTACTTTCAATCTTACAGGTGTTTTGCACAACCAGTTTTATCATTGACTAAAACAGTAACCAAGTTGTGATGAAACTAACATGAAAACAGGTTACGGGTTTGAAATATGTGATGCCATCAATATAAGTTAGTAAAAGGAAAATATGTCACAGTTAAATAAGTACAATGAACATTAATTAATGTAAAACCTCACCATATACATGTCTTGTGGATGCACAAACTCAGGCATTGGAAAAATGTTGTTTATTATTGTTTATTATTTTTGTATATTTTTTTTGCAGGATTCTGGTGTTTTTGCAGTATATTATACTGTCAGATATTTTATGTTAATTCCTTATCCTTTTAATGTATTACTTTTAAGTTCCAGTGATAAGAAAGCAAGTGTGACATGGCACATTTTAAGCAAGAAATGCTTCCATGCATTTATATGACTTACAAATTTTTCAGAAATGCAAATTATATATAACTTTACAATGTACAATTTCAAAATTAAAAAATCTTATAACATTTATTCAAAGTGTACATAGAAATTGATTTTTTCATCCAGTTTTTGGGCAGTTTTTAATTATTTTTTTGTGTGTGGCTAAGTTCACATTGTGTACATTTTTATATAATTTAGTAAAGTTCATATGCACATATATTATAATTACCATATAAAATATTGTGTTTAAAGCTTGTTTTTGTTTGGAGAAAAAAGTTTCATTCGAACAGATATGTGGACACATTACACATATATACATTCTAACATATATATAAAAATCATATTTTTGTTTTTGTACAAAACATTGTAATAGTTGTTCTGTTGTACAAACTAAGTCACATGCAGTAGTTTTAATAATTTGAGTAATAAGGAAAAGTTTTTATTTATGTTTCATGACAACAGAGTTTGCTATTTCACAGTCAAAATCTGCCATGAAGCACTTTTTAAGAGAAAGTGTGTTTTATACTCGTAATAACTGTATATGTTGTTTTGTTTTTATTTTTCTATCTTCTGATTATGATTACAAAAGGAAATGGTGTTTTATGCTAAGATATATTGATATATGTTATATAATATAAATGTATTTTTAATGTGTGTTTTACAGTCTCTCATAACTCTTTTTAGAGTGGCTCTTTTATAAATAGATCTATTATTATTATATCACGTTTTATAACAAATGTATCAAAGAGGGGACACTCTAATAAAGAATTTGTTGTTGTTGTTGTTGCATTTTATTGATTTATTGATGCTGATGGACATGAAAAATGTGAGGTTGCTGCACTGATATGTGACGTAATTGTCCAACATAATTGAGAGGATCTTAAAAATATATGGCAGTAGGACCAAAGGGAAAATGTATAAATTGTCGAAAAAATCAAATATACTTTCAATATTTATATAGTACAAAGAACAGAGAAAAAAATCTGTCCCTCATGTTAAAATGAAAGAGTACGATTGTTTATGGTATGTAATCATTACATAATTAAAATGACTTTCTGATATGCAATAAAAGTTGACAAATTCATGGAAGAACCTCGTTTAATTCAATAATAATGTTGTCTTCCTGCTTGGCTTAATATGACAAGATAAACATGATCAACAGGATATAAATACAAACACTAACTCATATTTCAGTCAGTAGTATTTGTATCTAAGTCTCACCATTTTAACCTTTAATACAAGAGGAGCAAATATAACATTCTTCAATTTAATACTCTACAACACTTTTCATAATGGAAAATATTCATTCATGGATATCCTTTTTATAATTGAATAGAATAGAAAACACTCCATATTTTAGATTTACTGCACAAATCAACACAGTTTTGCATTTCATTTTGAAACACCACTGTGCTTGGTTAGGGAAAAGATGAGCGCCTGCAAACAGGTTGAATCCCGCCACATTCTGTATGTGCCTGTCCCAGATCAGGAACCTGTAATTCAGTGATTGATGTTTGTTGCTGTATATCATATTTGTTTTTTGTTTACAGTTTTGTACATAAATCAAGCCTTTGTTTTCTTGTTTAAATTGTTTTACTTTTGTCATTTAGGGGCCTTCTATATCTTGTTATGCCATATGATTTTTGCTCATTGCTGAAGGCTGTACAGTGACCTATAGTTGTGAATTTCTACATAATTTTGACTTCGGTGGAGAGTTGTATCAATGGCAACCATACAAGATCTTTTAGGTTTATATAAATTGCCCTATTTATTTGTGTGTGTGTGTAATTTGGGGGATGTAAATTATGCTCTCAACTCTTATAAATCTATATCTAGTAAAAAATTAATTTCATGGAATGTTGTTTCATGCATCTACTGCTTATACCTTAACATGCTTAACTTCAATTTAGTTCAAAATTATTTTCCACTGGCCACATAGGTTGTAACCTGCAGGTATTACTTGCCATAATAGTTAAAATTAACACCTTTGGACAAGTTGACAACCATTATTTGTCCCCTGATAAAAATATTCCGATATTTCACAATTTTTTACAAAATTCCTCAGCTATACCTCTATATAATTACAATGCATATATCCATAAATTTAAACTGGTTACCTATTAATCCATTCTGCAAAAGCTGTTGTTTCTGCTTTCTTCACAGTATGTGTTGTGCCTTCCACAGAAGCATGGGAAGTCCCACCATGTGTTTCAATGTCTTTTCTTGTAACTACTTGTTTCTTGTATTTAATTCCAAAATCTTTTTCTCTTCGTAACTTGGCATATAACTGAAAAGGTACAATGAACATGATGAACTGTGCTGCATAAATACATGAATATATTGTGTACTTTTTTAAAACTAAATAATTGAATCCCTAGTATACTAAGACTTCTATGGACTTCAATTTTATTTGAATTAGGAGTTATTTCCCTTTGCTGTCATATTGTTGGCCAATGTACACACTCATTTTACTGACCCCTACACACAAGAATAAAATGCTTCGCTGGGGCGCAGCTTGATACGACCGCAGAGGTCGAACCCTGAACAGTTGGGGCAAGTATGGACACAACATTCAAGCTTGATACAGCTCTGAATTTGGATTGTTATTAAATATTTGACACAGCATAGGTTTCTGACACAGAAAGAATGTGGGCTAAGAACTTGAATTTTTGTAATTTACCTATTATGGTCCAATGTCCAAAATCAAAATACATGGTTAGATTCAGCATATCAAAGAACCCCATATATTCAATTTTTGTTAAAATCAAAAAAAGTTTAATTTTGGACCCCAACTTGGACAAACTTGAAAACTGGGCCCATAATCAAAAATCTAAACACATGTTTAGATTCAGCATATCAAAGAACCCCAAGAAATCAATTTTTGCTAAAATCAAACTAAGTTTAATTTTGGACCCATTGGACCTTAATGTAGACCAATTTAAAAAACGGGACTTAAAATTAAAAATCTAAATACACGGTTAGATTTGGAATATCAAAGAACCCCAATAATTCAATTTTTGATGAAATCAAACAAAGTTTAATTTGGACCCTTTTGACCTCAATATGAACCAATTTGATAGCGGGGCCCACAAATAAAAAATCTAAATTCATGGTTAGATTCAGCATATCAAAGAACCCCATATATTCAATTCTTGTTGAAATCAAAAAAAGTTTAATTTTGGACCCCAACTTGAAAACTGGGCCCATAATCAAAAATCTAAATACATGTTTAGATTCAGCATATCAAAGAACCCCATATATTCAATTTTTGTTGAAATCAAACAAAGTTTAAATACTGGACCCTATCTTGGACCAACTTGAAAACTGGGCCCATAATCAAAAATCTAAACACATGTTTAGATTCAGCATATCAAAGAACTCCAAGAATTCAATTTTTGTTAAAATCAAACTAAGTTTAATTTTGGACCCTTTGGACCTGAATGTAGACCAATTTAAAAAACAGGACCCAAAATTAAAAATCTAAATACACGGTTAGATTTGGAATATCAAAGAGCCCCAATAATTCAATTTTAGATGAAATCAAACAAAGTTTAATTTTGGACCCTTTTGACCTCAATATGAACCAATTTGATAACGGGGTCCACAAATAAAAAATCTAAATACATGGTTAGATTCAGCATATCAAAGAACCCCATATATTCAATTTTTGTTGAAATCAAACAAAGTTTAATTTTGGACCCCAATTTGGACCAACTTGAAAACTGGGCCAAAAATCAAAAATCTTAATACATGTTTAGATTCAGCATATAAATGAACCTCATATATTCAATTTTTGCTAAAATCAAACAAAGGATTTTTTGGACTTTGGACTTTAATGTAGACTATTTTGAAAACTGGACCCAAAATTAAAAATCTAAATACACTGTTAGATTCGGCATAACTAATAAATAAATGTGATCAAAGATTTTACAAATCTAATGCGCCATACTGTGCAATAAAAGATTACTTCTTGAAATTTTTCAATATTTGAAATTTGAAAAAAAAATAATATTTGAAGAATAATTCTTTTTAATTTCTGAAATCCGAAATGAGAAAAAATTGACCCCCCACAATTTCTTTTTATCCCCCCCCCTTTTTTCCCCAAAAAAATTCTTTCCCTCAAGATATGGTCATAATCTCAATTCAAATTTCCAATGGAGTTGGCAACCATAATTACCCATTTAATTTTACCATAGTGCTATCTTAATCTATTTTATAATAGAATTAAAAATATAGTGTCAAATCTTTCATATGGATTTTTTTGTAAAATAAAATGATGCAACATTTGCAGATATTTTTACTGGTCTTCCTTTATAAATATGCATTTCTTTAAACATAATTTAAAAGCAGTGTAAGGGAAGTAACCAAAACGTTGTATTTGGATTACCTCCCTTACACTGTTTTAAATTATCTTTATTGTTCATTAACCATTACTTTATACATAATTTAAAAGCAGTGTAAGGGAGATAATTTCAATGATGTATTTGATTTATCTCCCTTACACTGCTTTAAATTATGTTTTGTACTAAAGTATTTGTTCATTAACCAGGACAACCTTGTTTTTCCCCCTTTTTTGCCCCTAATTCCTAAACGGTTTGAGCCATAACCCCCCAAAGCAAATCCTAACCATCCCTTTGTGGTATGGAAACTTGTAGTATAATTTCAGAGAGATCCATACACTGTTCCACAGTTATTGTCTGGAAACTAGAAAATGCTTATTTTTGGCCCCTTTTTGGCCCCTAATCCCTTAACTGTTGGTAACATAACCCCCAAAATCAATCCCAACCTTCCTTTTGTGGTATTTAACCTTATGGTAAAATTTCAAAAAGATCCATTCACTTAAACTAAAGTTAGAGTGCGAAAACCAATGTGTATTCGGACGACGACGCAGGACGACGACGACGACGCCGGACGACGACGACGACGACGACGACGACGACGACGCCAACGTCATACCAATATACGACCACAAAAATTTTTTTGCGGTCGTATAAAAATAGTACTGTAAATTCAGAAATTATTGCAAACATTCATTATAGTAATTTTAGAAGAATGGACATAAATGTGAATTTAATTATTGCGATTCCGGGAGCATATGCATACAGATATATGTATTAGATATCAGAATGCAAGTTCTTAATATTGCAATACTCACCCAGTTGCATTATTCACAATTAAAAAAACCTTGCAATAATTTCTGAATTTACAGTATTCAAAACAATTTTCATAGCCTTTTATAATTCATCACTATGATCTAGTAAGGATCATTTATCAGGCTTGCTTGCACCAAATGTTCAAACTGGGCTAGTCAAATAAGTAAATCAGCCTGTTTTCATTATGTTGAAGCAGGGAAATGTCTCAAACTCAATGTCTGACACCAGAAGAACTATTGTGTAATACAAATTTTCACGGTTAGAAAGGTTCAATAAAGTTTTGTTCCAGAAGATGATTGTTAATTTGTATTTTAAAGTGGTGTGTTGCCATGGTTGCAAGGATACTTTATGCTATAAAAGCAGCAATTGCCAAAATCAATTTGCAAAATCCTTAAGCTTTGTAGGCTATTTCAAGATTTCACACTGGATCAGTGTTTTCGTAGCAAGAGTCTAGTAGTTCTGATATGGAAATTATATATATATAGGAACTACATTTGTCAATTGATCTAATGCAACAAAAGATTTCACTCATTTTTGTTTTTGTATTTGCTGTTATGAACGTTAATCTCAGTTTTATTATTTTTGTTCAACATGTGAGGCATACAACTACCGGTACCACATGTACCATTGGGTTACTATCTAGGCAAAGTATTTTCATTAATTGGCAGTTTACATTATGCAGGTTGATTTATTATTGTTTGTTTAATATGCAGTCGCAAATATTACATGGATGTTCAGGACAAACATCATGGACACACCAGTAAATGAGCCTCCTCATGGGGTTTTTGATTATGTGATTACTTGGCCGTTTTTATAGTGATTATTTGATTACCAGACCTGAATAAAATATTTCATGACCATTTGATTATTTGATAATCTAGATCTGTATTTTTGATTATTTGATAATCTTGTTTAAAAAAATAATTAATGATTATGTGATTATATTGGCAAAATATTTGTGATTATGTGATTACTTGGACACCCCCATGAGGGGCCTCGTTGGGAATTAAGGACATTTGTTATTCCTGATACTTACGTTCTGGAATTCATCAATATCAAGTTTGCCATCTTTAATTTTTGAGTCGTACTGATTGATAAGGTCTCGTACTTCATACCCAGGCAGTTTCATTCCAACCAGTTCTAAGGCAGACTGTAATTCTGATGCTTCGATGTAACCACTCTGGTCATTGTCCATCTGCAAAACACAAAATAATTTATGTTATTATGTTTATTCATCATGATCATGCAGGGCTTTCATTTGAATTGTGGTGTATAAATAAAAAGTGTTTCTTTGGAATTCTTTGTCAACTTGATTTTTTGAAACCAGTAATTAACATTATCTAGGATTGGACCAAAGACTTGTTAGCTGAAACTTTCAAGCAAAAGTACATTGAAAGCAGATCTATACCAATACCAAGATCAAGATCATTTTACTTAATCCACTGAGGATCAAACCTACGACACCTGCACTGTTGACAAAGCAATTCTTAATCTATTAGGCTAGGACAATGCAAATGTCTGACATCTTGTAATTATCATACTTTCAGTGTCTTATGGTAAACCACAATGAAGATTTTATTGTTCCAATTATGTAACTGGTTTAATAACAATGTTGGTTTTTTAAACAAAAACATACATGTCCTGGTATGTTATTCAAAAAGATTGACTCTAAGGACAATTTAAACAACATGACAGATAATAACTTCATTTAGATAATTTATAAGGAGAAAGGGGTGGTTGAAGTTTCAAACTAATTTTCAGCCTTTTAACTGGCTCTGCATCTTTGTTGCTGCAAAATATCATAAATTCCAATAGTTCCTGTTTGCATATATATGCAACTGCACATACTTTTGTGGGGCAATGATGGATTTTTTTGTGCATGTACATGTATGTTATTGAATAAATTTACAAGATATTTTCATTTCAATTTATCTTCAGTCATCTTATCAAATAAAACCTTGTATAAAAGTACTGTCAATATGAATATGTATTTATAATAAGTTGGTCACAAAGATAATAAGGTAGGAAACTAGGTTATCCATATAAACTTTAAATTACATCCTGGTACAGAGAAGAGAGATATATATATATAGAGCTGGTTTTCTCTGGATTTGTTTAACTGGTGAGATCATAATCTAGAGTTTGATAAAGACTAAAGTCTTATTTTCAATCTATATGAGACACTTGGGAATTACTGGGAAGCTTGCCACAGAACCTCATTACATTGCTCTGATCATTATTTCTTACAATAAATTAAAATTCATTGTAATTAAGCATGATGAATGTCTTAGCAAATGCTTAGGAGTGATGTAGAGAAGCTGTAATAACACCCTTTTAAGTTATTATAGGCATATTTTTTCTGTAATAACATAGGTGTACTATGCATGATTGGCAAACTATGAACTGTTATATCTTTCTATAGTTAAATATACATAAAGACAATAGTAATATCAATAGAACTTGTATACATTTTAACAAAACTAATGATGTATATTGTCCCTTTGAAACATGTAATATAAATATGTTATCACAGTTCTTTCATTTTTTAGTTCACAATAACAAATGTATGTTATTTTTCTCTAATAACCCTATAGAGTTATATCCTTGACTGATATATAAGAGTTGAAATAATGTCTTTGTAAGACATTTCAATAATTTTGTGTCCTTAAAAGATTTCTATTACCCATAAAATAAATTCACAAAAATTGTTTCTACTATGTCTCCAATATAATGAAACATAAGCAAACACATATTTATCTTTGTTTATATCAAGTATATGTTATACTTCTACATACCATGCATACATTGCATGTTCATTCAAAACTTTAAATAAGTTTTTCAACTTTTAAAGAAAATTTAAATCCAGAATTGAAATAAATATTCTGATAAAATGATGAGGTCAGCATTCTTTCTAAAACCTGTATATTTGCATTTTTTTCATAGGTAAATATTTCCCTATCACAAACCCTCCCTTTAAATCAGACCATCAAAATGTTTAGTTTATTAAATAGACTTGTGGATTTATTTGAGCAGATAGTTTTATCTTCCCCAAATATATGTATGCAATAAATATTGACATTGGGGTCAAATGTAAACATAATAAAAACTTTTAGGATAGATAAAATTCTCTATGACTTTGTCAGTCTGAAACGGTCATCCCTTATAAATTGATAAATGATATATTTGACCAGGGAGAGACAGTTTTCAGAAGCGGGGGTAAAATATCAAAATTCCTAAAGGACCGTTTACATAAAGGGGAATACAATTGTATATTACATGTACAAGTACAGACACCAAAGTCTGAAGATCCAATCTGACATGACCTGCATTGTTACTCTTAAAATCTGACAGACTAATTAAATGTTTAAAATGCAATTACTTGTAACAGTGTAACATGCATAGGAATTATGTCATTGTTGAAGATTAGCATTTATATAAACAAGAGGCTCTCTGAAGAGCCTGAATCGCTCACCTGTAATTTTTTGCTTAAATCTTTCATCAATTTTTTGCTTAAATCTTTCATCAATGATTATTTTTGCTTTTCAATATATATTAATGAGTGGCCTAAAAATGCCATTTAAATGTTCTTTGCATCTGTCATATTTTCTTCAAAAGCAAAAAAATGCATTTTACCCCTATGTTCCATTTTAGCCATAGTGGCTATGTTTCTTAACCCACAAGGAAATAAAATACAAAATTTATACTAGGTACTCTGAAACTCATTTAGCCCAAGTTTGGCTGAAATTGATTCAGCAGTTTCAAAGGAGAATATTTTTTAAAGTAAGCAAACTACATGTAGATGAACAAATTGTGAAAAATTGTCTTTAAAGGACAATAACTCCTTACGGGGTCAATTGACAATTTTTGTCATAAGAAACTTATTTGTAGATCTTACTTTGCTGAACATTTTTGTTGTTTACAGTTTATCTTTATCTATAATTATATTCAAGATAATAACGAAAACTGCAAAATTTCCTTAAAATCATCAATTCAGGGGTAATAAACTAAAAATCAGATACCCGATTTGGCTGATAATTTCAGGGCAGGTAGACCTTGACCTAATGAATACTTTAACTTCTTGTCTGATTTGCTCTAAATGCTTTAGTTTTTGAGATATGAGTCAAAAACTGCTTTTTACCCTATGTTCTATTTTTAGCACGGCCATGTTTTCTGAGGCATCAGAAAATAAAACACAAACTTTATTCTAGATAACCTAAGAATAATTCAGATTAAGTTTGGTTTAATAGTTTCAGAGGAGAAGATTTTTTTAAAGTTAGAAAACATGATAAACAAATTGTGTAAAATTGTCCTTAGAGGGCAATAACTCATTAAGGGGTCAATTGATAATTTTGGTCATATAAACTTATTTGTAGATCTTACTTTGCTGAACATTTTTACTGTTAACAGTTTATCTTCATCTTTAATAATATTCAAGATAATAACCAATAAAATGCTCCGCTGGGGCGCAGCTTGATACGACCACAGAGGTTGAACCCTGAACAGTCGGGGCAAGTATGGACACAACATTCAAGCTTGATACAGCACTGAATTTGGATTGTAATCAAATATTTGACACAGCATAGGTTTCTCACACAGAATGAAAGTGGTCTAAGAACTTAAAATTTTTTAATTTACCTATTCAAACCATATCATTATTATTTCCTTTTATATATAAATCAGAAATAACCAATTTAAATGTAAAATTTTAAAGAAAAAAAAGGAAAAAAAAATCCCCCCCCCCCAATTTTTTGAACCCCCTTATGATTCATCACCCCCAAACTCAATCCCAGCTTTCCCTTTGTGGTATGGTACCTTGCAGTACAATTTCGGTGGATCCATACACTTGAACACAAGTTATTGTCAGGAAACTAGAAAAAGGCTTGTTTTTTGGCCCCAAATTCCTAAATGTTTAGGGCAATTACCCCCAAACTCAAACCCAGCTTTCCCTTTGTGATATGGAACCTTGTAGTACAATTTCATAAAGATCCATACACTTACACACAAGTTATTGTCCTGAATCTAGAAAAATGCTTGATTTTTTGCCCTTTTATGGCCCCTAATTACTAAAATTTTGAGGGAATTACCCCCAAAATCAATCCCAGCCTTCCCTTTGTGGTATGGTACCTTGCAGTACAATTTCAGAGAGATCCATACATTTGAACACAAGTTATTGTCTGGAAACTAGAAAAATGCTTATTTTTGGCCTCTTTTTGGCCCCTTATTACTAAACTTTTTGGGCAATTACCCCCAAACTCAATTCCAGCTTTCCCTTTGTGATATGGAACCTTGAAGTACAATTTCATAAAGATCCATACACTTACACACAAGTTATTGTCATGAAACTAGAAAAATGCTTGTTTTTTGCCCCTTTTTGGCCCCTAATTCCTAAAATTTGGAGGCAATTACCCCCAAAATCAATCCCAGCATTCCCTTTGTGATATGGAACCTTGTGGTACAATGTCAGAGAGATCCATACACTTACACACAAGTTATGTCTGGAAGTTACAAAAATGCTTATTTTTGGCCCCTTTTTGGTTCCCAATTCCTTAACTGTGGGTACCATAACCCCCAAAATCAATCCCCACCTTCCTTTTGTGGTATTGAACCTTATGGTAAAATTTCATTGAGATCCAACTAAAGTTAGAGTGCAAAAACTAATGTGTCTATGGACGACGACGACTCCAACATTATACCAATATACGACCACAAATTTTTTTTTGCGGTCGTATAAAAACTGCAAAATTTCCTTAAAATTACAAATTTAGTGGCAGCAACCCAACAATGGGTTGTTAGATTAATCTGAAAATTTCAGGGCTGATAGAACTTGACATAATGAACATTTATATCCCATGTCAGATTTGCTCTTAATGCTTTAGTTTTGAGATATAAGCCAAAAAACTTAATTTTACTCCTATGTTCTATTTTTAGCCATGGTGGCCATGTTTTTTGAAGAAACAGAAAATAAAACACAAACTTTATTCTGGATACCCTAAGGATCATTCAGCTTAAGTTTGGTTGGATTTGGTTCAGTAGTTTCAGAGGAGGAGATGTTTGAAATAGTTTACACCGGACGGACGACGACGGACACCAAGTGATGGCAAAAGCTCACATTTCCTTTGGAAAGGTGAGTTAAAAATAAAATGAGGTTAACTTAAATCATCTTTTTTTTGTTATAAAAATGGGAAAGGATAAATA